TTTTCCCTATTTACTAAAAAAATAAAAAAATAATACACATTTGATATATGTCCCCATCAAATATTCTCAATTGTCATAATAATTTATAGCTATAAAATTATAGTATTAAAAGTAGAATAAAATATTAAATAATAGTAGCACTATTTTACTGATATTTTTTTATGGATATAAGAGAGTACAAGCATTTATGGTATTACATTGACTTTCCTTCAATAGAAAAATAAACTTCAAACAATTTAAGAAAATTCGGGCAAAACCCCAACACCCCTCCCCCCTCAAACCCACCATAAAAACCTCAAATCTCTTTCTTCCATCATTTCATAGACAGCCCTTTTTCCCTCCCTCCCCCACACACACCCCTCTCAACCCACCATAGAAAAACCCCAAATTTCCTTGTTCCATTAGTACACACTCATCAAGATTCAACACACAAATGACTTCATCAAAATTTGAAATAAATGATGACATACTTGATTTTGTAATCAAGAAAGCAAATGGAATAAAAGGTCTAGTAGAAGGAAGCCTTGAAATTATCCCAAATCAATGTATTCAACCAAAAGAACACAGACTAGACAAATCTCAAATTGACAATCAAGAATCAATCCCAACAATTGATTTATCAAATTTTTATGATTTGAATGTTGAAAAGTCAATTCAAGAAGCAACAGCCAAGTGGGGTTGCTTCCAAATCATCAATCATGGGATCCCAATTGAAGTTCTTGAAGATTTGAAAGATGCAGCACACAAGTTCTTTGAATTGCCAGCTGAAGAAAAGGTTAAGTATTGTAAAGACAATTATAGTGCTGGTGAATCTGTATTGATGTTTTGGAGTGCTATTGGAGAAAAAAATGAAAAAGTTTTGGAGTGGAGGGATAGTATAAAACATGGTTGTAATCCACAAAACGATAGCAATCTTTGGCCTCCTCAAACAAGGTAAGTTTTTGGGTTTTCAGTTCTGTGTGATTTATAGGTCACGTGTTTTTGAGCAAGTAAGAAGCATACCTCTAGTATTACTTTTTTCATGAGTTTCATATCTTTAACCGTAAGGTGTTAGCATTTTCTATCTAAACTGTAGTTATCTTTTTATCAAAAAAAACCTCGAAACGTACAACACCAAGTGTCTCAATAAAATCACAAAAGGTTGTGTCACAAGTTAATTAGGCTTAAAATTTCGTGCAAATGGCAACTGACACATTAATTTTTAGATGTGATTTGATAGTTAATTGATGACAGTCAGATTGGAGACTTGCAAAAATATGTTACTTCACACGTGTTTTTCACCATTATCTCTAAATTTTATAAGGGTGTATATAACTTAAATCAGAATTATATTGCATGTGTAGGAATTTTTTCTATCCATTTTACAATAATATATCTAGTATAATTCCACAAGTAGGGTATATGGAGAGGATAGGATGTACGCAGATCTTATTTTTACCTTTGTGGGGTAAAAACGTTGTCTCTGATGGACTTTGGAAACACTCTTAGCGAAATTCTTTACTTTGACATTAAATTACCTTGCCATTAAATTATGTACGCTCTTAACTAAATTCCCGACTTTGTCACTGATTTATAGGTACCAAGTCTTGGAGTACCAAAAGTGGGTCAAACCACTTGCTAAAAATTTGTTAAAGGTTTTATTGAAGGGTCTCAATGTTAATGAAATTGATGAATCTTTGGAACCTCTCTTGATGGGAACTATGAATATCAACATGAACTATTATCCACCATGCCCAAATCCAAGTATCACCATGGGGGATCGCCGACACTGCGACGGGTCCTGCATCACTTTGCTCTTCCAAGACGACACGGGAGGCCTAGATGTCCGAGGGACTAAAGAAGATAATTGGATCCATGTAAATCCAATCAATGGCGCCTTAGCGGTTAACATAGGTGACCTATTGCAGA